GCCAAGAATCTTTCCCTTAATCCTGTATTCTGCTTTCAAGTTTGTCCTTCCAAAATGAATCACCTCACACTTTTCAGGGTTGAACTCCATCTGCCACTTCTCAGCCCAGCTCTGCATCCTATCAATGTCCCTTTGTAACCTAGAACAGCCCTCCGCACTGTCCACAACATGACCCACCTTCATATTGTCTGCGAACTTACTAATCCACTCTTCCACTCCTACATCCAAATCATTTACAAAAATCACAAATAGAAGAGGACCCAGAACAGATCCTTGTGGTACACCACTCGTAACTGAGCACCATGTTGAATATTTTCTGTCCACTACTACCCTTTGTCTTCTAAGGGTCAGCCAATTCTGAATCCAATCTGCCACATTTCCCCCTATCCCATGCCTCCGTACTTTCTGCATGAGTCTACCATGGGGAACCTTATCAAACGCCTTACTTAAATCCATGTATACCACATCCACTGCTCCACCTTCATCCACGTGTTTGGTCACCTCTTCAAAGAATTCAATATGGTTTGTGAGGCCTGATCTACCCCTCACAAATCCATGCTGACTATCACGAATCAAACTGTGCCTATCCAAGTGATCATAAATCCTATCTCTCAGAGCCCTTTCCAATAATTTGCCCACCACTGAAGTAAGACTAACTGGCCTGTAATTTCCAGGGTTATCCCTATTCCGTTTTTTGAACAAGGGAATGACGTTTGCCACTCTCCAATCTTCCGGCACTATACCCATGGACAGAGAGGACGAAAAGATCATTGCCTAAGGCTCTGCGATCTCTTCCCTCCTTTTCTATAGAATCCTTGGATAAATCCCATCAGGCCTGGGGGACTTATCTATCCTCAAGTTCCTCAAAATTCCTGGTATATCTTCCTTACTAACATCGACCTCCTCTAGTCTACCAGCCTGTTTCACACTGTCCTCCCCTACAGCTAGGTTCCTCTCAGTTGTGAATACCGAAGAAAAGTATTCATTAAGGACCTCTCCTATCTCTTTAGGCTCCGTGCATAAATTCCCTTTACAATCCTTGGTCAGCCCTACCCTTTCTCTGGTCATTCTCTTATTCCTCACGTACGTGTAAAAAACCTTGGAGTTTTCCTTGATCCTATCTGCCAAGGTTTTCTCATGCCCCCTTATAGCTCTCCTAAGCCCTTTCTTCAGCTCCTTCCTGGCTAACTGGTATCCCTCTAGAGCCTTTTCCGATCCTTGTTTCCTAAACCTTACATAAGCATCCTTCTTTCTCTTAACTAGTCATTCGACCTCTCTCGAGAACCAAGGCTCCCTCACTCAACTGCATCTTCCCTGCCTGTTAGGGACAAACATATCAATCACATGCAGCATGCATTCCTTAAACAATCTCCACATTTCTATAGTGCTCTTCCCTGAAAGCATCTGTTCCCATTTTATGTTACTCAGTTCTTGCCTGACAGAATTATAATTACCCTTCCCCCAATTATAAACCTTACCCTGCTGTATGTATCTATCCTTTTCCATGACTATTGTAAAAGTAACAGAGTTATGATCGCTACCACCAAAATGCTGTCCTACCAACAGGTCTAACACTTGGCCCGGTTCATTTCCAAGCACCAAATCCAAAGTGGCCTCTCCTCGTGTGAGGCTTCTCTCGGGCTTGAGAGACTTTCTGGAGTGCTAATAGGAGTTTGCATTGGGAGAGTTCTACAAGTAGACATAATAAATATCGAAGGGCATTAGCCTGCTTTCAGTTAGAAGGATCAGAGATTGATTTTTTTTTATTGCTCAAGGCAAATACCAATACTTAGGATTTTAGTTTCAGGTTGCAGAAGTCTTGGTTGAAGTTGGATGTATGAATGCAGTTTTACAGGGGCAAGGATTTTGTTCAGAAAAATTAGAAATAAACTAACTCAGTGTAAGGAATTAGTTTTGAAAGCTCCAACCAGGAGTGTTTGGTTAGAATGCTGAAGAGGTTAATTGAAACTGAGAAGGTTTAAGCTCAGTTGTATAAATATTCAAGGAAGAAGCTACCAGACTCTCAAGACCGCGAATTGAAAGAAACCATTATATTAAACTCATTAAGATGATAGAGAAGCAAACTCTGCCTCTAGTGTTTGAGTACTATAATGGTTTGCCATTGGGATAAATGGAATGTTGTATTTTTACTGTGTGTTTTGAAATCTTTTAAATTGTGTTATATGTAAATAGTGTGGTTTATTCCATTTTATCTTTCCTTTTACGTAATAAACTTCTGTTCTATTATTAAAACCAGATCTGCCACATTACATACTTGTGTTTCAATGAAAGACCATCTCATTAAAAAAAATATGATTAAGTCAGATTTCAGTCTAGGATCTGAATTGTCTACTAAAACATCAGATGCAATCATAACAAGTGTAAATGTTATTTGCCACTTATTAATCCAAAACTGAACATTATCCAGTCCTTACTAAAACTGGATATAAGCTTTTTCATTATCTGAAGAGCTAAGGATGGAATTGAACACTCCAATTATCAGCACACATCTACACTTCTCACTTTGAGACTATGGTGATTGGCCATAGGACATAACCAGAAGAACTCCTGCTGTGATGCCCTGGGGCTGAAATGATTGTCCTGTAACAATGCAGGTCCCTTCCATTGTGCTAGCTATGACACCAACTGATTCCAGTTTTTCTACGCACCCTTAATATTGCATTCATTCAAATGCTGCCTTGATGTTACTTTCAGCTCACTTCGGGAATTTAACTCATTTGAGCATGCTTGGATTAAATCTCCTTCAGTGGTTTAGTTTGCATGTACCCCTCTGTTGTAGCTTCACCAAATTGTAACTTCATGTTTAGGCATGCTTAGTGCTGTTCCTTGCATGCTTTCTTGTACTCGTCATTGAAACAAGGTTGGTCCATTGGCTTGATTGCAAATGTAGAGGGAGCGATATGCCAGACCATAAGAGTGAAAAGTATGCTAGAATGCAATTCTGCTTACAACTGCCTTTATCAGTCATGGCATAGATTATAAGAACAGGGAGGTAATGTTGGAGCTGTACAAAACTTTGGTTAGGTCACAGCGGGAGTACAATATGCATTTTGGTCACCACACCATAGGAAGGATGGATTGCACTGGAGGGGGTGCAAAGGAGATTCATCAGGACATTGCCTGAGATGGAGCAGTTTAGCTATCAAGAGAGGCAAGATAAGCTTGGGTTATTTTCTTTAGAGTAGAGAAAGTTGAGAGGAGGCCTGATTGAGGTGCACAGATAGGAAGCAGCTGTTTCCCTTAGTTGAAGGATCGATAACAAAAGGGCAAAATTATAAGGTGAAAGGCAAGAGGTTTAGAGGGAATTTGAGGAAACTTTTTTTCATCCAGATGGTGGTGGTAATCTGGAATGCACTGCCTGGGAGGGAAATTGAAGCAAGAAACCTTAAACTTTTAAAATGATAAGTATTTGAAATGTCATAATATTGAAGGCTATGGACCAAGTGCTGGAAAGTGGGACTAGTGTAGATTTAAAGTTGCTTTGTCAATGCAGACTCAATTAACCAAAGGGCCTCTTCTGTTCTGTATGATCCTATGAGTCTCTAATAAAAATTACTCAGGAGAAGCTCTGCAGATCTGGCAGCGTCTGTGGAGAGAGAATCAAAGTTAATGTTTCGAGTCTAATATGAGTCTTGTTTGGAACTTCAATTCTGAAGAAGAGTCGTTGGACTCGAAACATGAACTGTGATTCTCTCTCTGTAGATACTGCTAGACGTGTTGAGTTTCTCCAGCATAACTTGTTTTATTTCAGATCTCCAGCATCTATATTTCACCTTCCAATATCTGAAGTTTCCTTTATCCCTTTCTCAGTTGTTCTGTCCTCACAAGTCCAGAGTCACCTAAGCCTATTGCACAGTAACTCTCCATTAGCATGGATCCTGTTGTATCATGTGTTGATGTAATAGTATGCTTTGGCTTATGATGTTGTCTTTTCTCCTACCCTGCATTACTCACTCTCTTTTTCTCCTGTCTATTTTCCTCCCTCATTCTTCCTTTGAGTCTCCCCCCTCTATTGGTCATTTCTCCTTCCTTTGTTCTTTCACTCCTTACTATTTCTTTCTCTCTACCTAGTTCACCGCCTCCGTTATTGCCTTCTCACCTACTGACATTGACTTCAATCAGCTACTTTCCAGCTCATTCCTGCATCTTGCCAATACCCATTTGCATTTTCATTTGGTTCAAAATATGAATTATACCTTAGTTATACCTCTGATATTATAATATGTAAATTATGACTATGCCTCCTAGAGCTCATTACCCACTTTCCTGACAAACAAAGTCAACGTCCATGGTCCCTCAGCTTATCTGAGGGTCGCCATTCCCCTTTCTCAATGGTCTTTAGTGTCCTTTGGGGAAGGAAGTTGCCATCCTTAGCCAATCTGGTTTACCTGTCACTACAGACCCACAGACCCACAGCATTGTGATTGGCTCTTAACTGCCCTCTGGGTAATTAGGGATGTATATTACATGGTAGCCTAGCCAGTGATGCCCACATCCTGTGAATGAATTTTTAAAAATTCAACCTTGAAAAACAGCCTTCAACTGCTCCTCTCTTTTCTATCACTTCCAGTTTTTAATTTGGTTTGCAACTACCTATCCCCATTGCATAGCCCCTCTCCTTCTCAAATAAGTTTCCATGTGATACTGACTCCTGTCTCTAAATATTTATATCACTCTTTGTATAGTTGAATGTATATGTTAAAAGAAAATGGTTGCATTCACCTGCACAGAGTTGAAAAAAACCCTGTAACATCAAACAGGCAAAGAATGAAATGAACTTTTTTTTTGCAATATTTTCTTTCTGCCTACTTTTATCTTTGGCCATTAATATTGAGTGAAGCACTCCTTAAAAAGCTAACAACATTGAAGGGTCTATACCCGAAACGTCAGCTTTCCTGCTCCTCTGATGCTGCTTGGCCTGCTGTGTTCATCTAGCTCTACACCTTGTTATCTAACATTCATTTTATTTGTGTTGTCAGAAACACTGTGAGCGGCAAAAATCTAACATCAGGATTCGATTTAGACCATCCCTTTTCCAGCATGTTGGGCTGCATTCTTCACTGGCAGGCAAAATTCAGAAATTGACAGTAAGTAGCATTTTGAACTTCTGTTGCAGCATGACATTTTATACGTTTTGGATTAATTGAAGGGAAATGGGCTGTACCTGTCAATTACACTTGGTTTTTTTTATAAAAGAAAAAATGCATTTATCCTTGCAGTTCAAGAATGATCTCTGCCTTCTATTAATATCAGAAGTCACATGACATCAGGTTTCAGCCCAACAGGTTTATTTGAAATCACAAGCTTTCAGAGCATGGCCCCTTCGTCATGTAAAGTGTGAGATAAGAGCACACAGACACAGAATTTATAGGCAGAGAGATCAAGGGCAGAGACATCAAAAGATTATACAAATGGTGTGAGTGGAGTGTTGAATAATAAGTCTCTGCAGGTGACCTAGAGCGTTAGACGGTGTGAGTAATGTGTCAACAGCTGAATAACAAGCCAAGGGACAACCTATAATCCAATTAATTGAGGCAGAGACATAATTACAAAGATTAAAAATAAGGTGGTGCTGGAGACAAACCAAATGACTGGAATAACACGATAGGTATGAGAGTCGCATGCCAAGCGTCTAACCAAAGTAATGAGTAATCCAAAATTGTACAAACTATTTAAGGTAGAGAGATCATAACAATTTATCAAGGTGATGGTATCAAAACTGGACAGTAAGGAAGGTTTGAGATAACAAGGTGTAGAGCTGGATGAACACAGCAGTCCAAGCAGCATCAGAGGAGCT